AGAGCAAAAAAAAAAAAACACTTTAAAGGCTCATAAAACAGGAGGCAATTAAAAACCTAAAGCAGTTCCTAAAATGGGAAATCATTAATAGAGCACCCAGAAACAATCAAAGACAACTTGACTCAAAAATAATATAATTAAAGAAGCCATCAAAGGTCTTCCAGAATAAAGGATTTCGCCAACTTCAGGAAGGCCAGGTGTTGAACTTTCTGAGGCTGGAAATTCCGTAAGCTGGGGCCCATCACTGAAAATGCCTTGCTCTATGTACTCCCAGAGGAATCACAGTGTAGATAACACAACAGCAAAAACAACCACTGTGAAATACAGCGCTATTACAATAAAGGCAAAAGTCCAAGGAAAATTTATAAGTAGAATTAATCAAAATCTGCACAGTGTCCAAAGCACAAATGAGACGGGGCTTCTGGTTAACTCCCACATATTGGCGATCCGATCCCTTCTTCAGTAAGGGAAACTGGCAGAGCATTCAACAAATACTTGACCTTGACTTGATCGTTGGATGCTCTGCCAGTTTCCCTTACTGAAGAAGGGATCGGATCGCCAATATGTGGGAGTTAACCAGAAGCCCCGTCTCATTTGTGCTTTGGACACTGTGCAGATTTTGATTAATTCTACTTATAAATTTCTCTTGGACTCTCCCCTTGTTAGGGTTTTCTGTACGTCACTTTGATACTGGATGGGAATAACTATATTTTTGTATTGAATATCTTATATGGAAAATTGGAAATAATTATTACATTATAATAACACTTTGAATATATATATAATCACTTTTTACTTTTGCCTTTATTGTAATAGCGCTGTATTTCGTAGTGGTTGTTTCTGCTATTGTGTTGCTCCATATACTGGCATATCTAACCTCCCTTGTCAGGGGCACATAGCCAAGGGAACAAGATGATGATTGAAACTGGTGGACTGCCTCATATACCTGGAGGTTGTCCTTGAAGTATTCTGGTCCCCGAGCCATTTAGTCAGTGCCGGTACTCTGAATTGATGCTATTGATGCAGCTGACAGAGCACAGGAGCAATATGGCAGTAGGGATGGATGTGGACTGGAAAAATGTGGTTCATGTTAGTTCATGGCCAAACCATGAACTGAACCGGTTCATGGTTCGTGGCCCTGCAAACCCCGTTGAAAGGGACTACAGTCCCTTTAAATGGGGTTTGCTGAAAGCCTGAAAAACAGCTGAGGGACTGCAGAAGAAACCCTGAAGAACAGTTGAGCGATGGGGAGGTGCTTCCCACTGCTTAGCTGTTTCCCTTTCTTGTGCAGTCCAGTTAAAGGGACTGCATAAGAAACTCAGAAAAATAGCTGAGCGATGCAAAGGTGCTCCCTGCCACTCAGCTGTTTCCCTTTCTTGTGCAGTCCCATTAAAGGGACTGCACAAGAAAGCCCGAAAAACAGTTGAGCAGTGGGGAGGTGCTTCCCACCGCTCAGCTGTTTTTGCCGGGAACAGAAAGCAGGGGGTTAAAGGGACTCAGATCCCCTTTAAATCCCTGCTTTCTGCTTTATCCATGAATTGCCAGAAATCTCCATGAACGGCTTTAAAAGTTCATGGAAGTTTGTGATGGTAGACTGATCACAAACTTTGGTTTGTGAATCACGAACAGAGCAAAATTCATGATGGATTTTGCTTTGTGGTTTGGTTTGTGCCCATCCCTATATGGGAAGTTCCAGTCAGAATCCTTCGGCTAGTTTCTAGATCATCTGAAGACAGCCTCATGCAGAACATGTTGCAGTAATCTAATCTAATTAATCAGATAATCTGGCTTTATAGAGATTGAGAGATGGACTTCCCTTTTAACAATAAGTGATAGGTTTGGTTTATTAAATGACATTTTAAATTTCCTTTAGTATCCCCAAAAGATTGCTGTGTTGAGGTTTTGGTCATGTGCAAAGTTACGTAATCAGTTAAGTAAAATGCAATGATTAGCTCTTTTATCCGTCGTCAGTGTGAGTATAAACATGATCCTATTAATAATCTTATATGACTTTTGCACATGTGATCAAGCTGCATAATAAATAAAGCATTTTGTCTATTTCACATTCCCACTTTAGGAGCGTTTGTTTGCTAATGCAAGTGGCAATGCCTTGTGTGCTGTTTGCAGAATCTCCTTCAGAGCTTCGTTTGAAAGGTGGTACGAATGCAGAAATGGCCCCCCAGATCGACTATACAGTGATGGTAAGGGAAGGCTCGCTTGCCTGAAGTTGGCCTTTTCGATCTCACAGGTCAAGTTAACATGTTTCTACTGTTGCCTTGCAATGAAGTTTAGTCTTCACGTGAATTTGAAAGAGACCACTATGAAATGATTCCATGAACAGAGGCTGTAGGAACAGGATCTATTGCAAGTCAGCCCTCAACAGTTACTCACACGGTTTTGCTAGTTCAGCTGCCTGTAGGTATTGAAGCTAGTCATTTGTAGCGCATGGCCTAAAAGGAGGGGGACGGGGACGGGAACTCTGTTCTGGATTTCAATATTTTCCCTTCCTGCTCACTTGGAAGTAATTCTTACTTGCTACAAATGACCAGGTAAGTGGTAGCCTGGTATAGAGTTCCTGAAACCATACAGTTGTATATTAAATGCTTTTAACCTGATGACATGAGCGCATTTTGCTTCAGTGTTGGGGCCTTCTGTGCATCATACATTTATGTTGTTGTTCTTGTTCAAAGATAATGTGCTTCTAATTTGTGATGTTTGAATACTGAAATATATCTGAATTTAAAGAGTAGTGTTTACTACTACTAGGATGGAGAGAGAGGCCAGAGAAAAATGGCCGCACCTAAAAAGGGGAGTAAGCTTACTTTGGTTTTGTGACCCACCCCCCTCCAGTTAAGAAGTGGTTTTATTAGGCCATTTGATATGATTATCTTCCCAGTAAGATGTCTTCCTCCATTTTCTAGCACATTACCAAAGGAAAAGATCTTTTACTCACATCTGTGTTTTCTGACCAATCAATTTACTCTCCAGGTCTTCAAGCCAATAGTTGAGAAGTTCAGTTTGACATTGGATTGTGAGATCAAAAGGAGGTAAGTTGTGGTGTTGTGTGGCCTCAGGCCGTGAGTGTTCACTCTAGATGACAAATTAGGATTGTGGTAAGGTAAAGGTAAAGGTTCCCTTGCTCGAAAGCCAGTCGAATCCGACTCTAGGGTTGCGGTGCTCATCTCCGTTTCAAAGCCGAAGAGCCAGCGCTGTCCGAAGACGTTTCCGTGGTCATGTGGCCGGCATGACTAAACACCAAGGCGCACGGAACGCTGTTACCTTCCCACCGAAGTGGTCCCTATTTATCTACTTGCAATTTCTTGCTTTCGAACTGCTAGGTTGGCAGGAGCTGGAACTAGAGACAGGAGCTCACCCTGTCTTGCGGCACCCGGGTCTTGAACCACTGAACTACTGACCTTCCACAGCCTGCAGTTCAGCGTCTTAACCACATGAGCCACCGCAGCTCCCAGGATTGTGGTAGTGCAGTCCAAAACAGCCTGGTGCTATTCCGAACCCACTGAGAAGGGTGTGACACTGTTTACAGTGCAGTCCAAAACAGGCGGGTGCTATTCCAAACCCACTGAGAAGGGTGTGACACTGTTTAGGATTGCCCTTTGGGTTTTATTTCCCAGTTGTTTTTAAGCATTTACAGTTCCAAGGCAAAGGACAAAACCAGTATTTTGGAGATAATCCTTGATTCTGTGCCAGCAAGCTAGAATGGCCTAGCTTTGGGAAGAAAACCTAATGGTACCTATAATGAAGGAAGTGATAGTTTCTCTAATTTAACTTTAAATACTTCTGTTTCCTAGATCAAGAAGAAGCTCTTTCCTTATTAGACTTAGTCAGGTTACTTTATTCCGGTGTTGGGGATACATGTGTTAGCAGTGGCAGAAGAAGCTCTTCCTAAATAGCGGGTGCTGGTCCTTCCCCAGATCAAATGCCAATACCAGGTGTAGATTGGTTGTGTTGGAAGTGTTGCTTTAAAATGGCTTCATTGCAAATGCCCTTGTGTGACCCGGATCACAACAAATTTTACTCATTTGCTTGATGATATGCATCAAATTGTCCCTCCAACTTTTGGAAACATTTCCTTGTCTGTTCACATGGGAAAGTTTCTTAGTTGAGACAGGGGACCAGGAAAAGTATGTTTTGATAAGTCTGATTTCGATTGCTGTGGCAGAGAAATCATTCATAAATATTGACAGCAACACATGTACTGTTAGAAGGGTTCTGACAATGCTGATATCAATTGAAGGGCATCTTGTGTTGGTTATGAAGTGCAAGTAGCCTTTTCTAGCTCAGATTTCTTATCTGTGTCTTACGAGGCAAAAGCCACCTACACATCTCACGTTTATCATAGAATGTTAGTAAAACAACACCAAGGCTAGAAAGCAAAATATTTAGGGCATTTTACATGGAAGATTTAAATTTGCCTTTGACTTTCTTGTGTCATTTATATTAATGTCTGATTGCTGAGTGCCTGCGAATAGTCTATGCTAGCTCAGACCATTTACTTTAGCGGTCAGCTGGTGGCTGGTCTATTCCATTTCTGCCTGCAAAAACAGGAAGGAGGGTGGATGATAGAGTGCTCTTCCATACCAATGATAATAATCCCTCCACATCGAAAGCTAACATGTAAGAGAAAATGGCTCTAGGATGTCATGATTTGATCTGCGTCACTGACAGTGTAGTGCGGTTCAATTATTGTGCTTAACAGGGGTTATTACCCGAAGGGAGGTGGCGAAGTGATTGTCCGAATGCCGCCCGTTAGACAGCTAAGTCCAGTCAATTTAACGGACCGTGGCACCGTGACCAAGATACATGGACGAGCCTTTGTGGCTGGAGCCTTGCCAATTAAAGTAAGTGTTTCTCATAGTCTTGGGAGGGGGCGCATGTGTTAAGATATAGACATTGTAAATCAGTGTTACAGCATTTTATTCTTATTAACTGTATAGCCAGTCTCTTAAAAAATACTAGGTTGCAATCCCATGTACATTTAGTTACCCCATTAAACTAACTGAGAATCTTCTCAGTCAACATGATATTGTACTGGGCTGTAAGTTATATGGTCAAGGAGGGTCAATTGTCCCAGTTGTGCCAAAATGAGAATGATACCTGTCCTCAATAACTGGATGGCAATAAGGTATAAACACAGAAGCAACATGTCCAAGGCTTATGTGAGTCAGGGCTCAGCCCCTGATACCTGCCTGGAGTGCCATAGCTCCAGATTTATAATATCTAAAGAAAATTGGGCTGCATTCACGCATGGTTGGATATTGTACTGTCACTGAGCTATAGCAGTCATTGATGCCTGGATGGTTTTGTTCACGCATGTCAAGGCTGATCCACCTTGGTGAGAGAGATTTGTTCCCTTGTCTCCAACCTGAGACCCTGGAGCAAGCCTCCCTGTGATAATGTAGCCAGGTTTAACCTGGGTTTTGTCCAGTAGACTCACAACAACACACCATAAAGCAGAATAATAAGAAATTAAAAAGATTTAAAAAGCAGTATCGTTTCAGTGGTAGGTGCAAATACACAGAAAATAATAAAACTAGCTCCCTGAATAGTGCTTACTGGATAAAGTCTTAGTGGCGTAAATCTTCCTAGAACTCTAGCAAATTCAGTCTAAGGCAGGGGTGGCCAAACGTGCTTAACGTAAGAGCCACATAGAATAAATGTCAGATGTTTGAGAGCTGCATAACATGAACAACTATTACAGCCATGTTTTTAATTGAAAAATATGCAAATTTGCTTTTTACTAGTTCAGCATTTTGAGACTCGAGTGCCGCATGACGGAGTGAGCTCCTGTCTGTAGTTCCAGCTCCTGCCAACCTAGCAGTTCGAAAGAAAGAAATTGCAAGTAGATAAATAGGTACCACTTTGGTGGGAAGGTAACAGCGTTCCGTGCGCCTTGGTGTTTAGTCATGCTGGCCACATGACCACAGAAATGTCTTCGGACAGCGCTGGCTCTTTGGCTTGGAAACGGAGAAGAGCACTGCAACCCTAGAGTCGGATTCGACTGGCTTTCGAGCAAGGGAAACCTTTACCTTTACTTTTTTAACATGACATAAGACTGCCAAAAATAAAAACAAAAGCTGTAGAAATAGATATTGATTGATATTTATTTGTCCAATTATATTTGTCGGCTTCGACTGGCTTTCGAGCAAGGGAACCTTTACCTTTACTTTTTAAACATGAAATAAGACTACCAAAAATAAAAACAAAAGGGGTAGAAATAGATATTGATTATGATATTTATTTCTCCAATTATATTTGTGGGCTGGGGGGGAGGCTTTGAGAACACATTTAAAGTTAAAATTGCTTTCTTTCTCTGCTCCCCCCTGCCTCAAGTCTACCCAGTAAGGAAAACACTGGCTGGGGAAGGGAAGACCGATCCGGGAGGCATGCCTCCCCTTCACTTCCCCAGCTGCCCTGCCGGGAGCCATGCAATATGTGTGAAAGAGCCACATGTGGCTCCCAAGCCAGTTTGGCCACCCCTGGTCTAAGACAAGCAGCAAAACTCCATGCAGATGTAGCAAAAGGCAAAGCAGGTAACGGATGGGGGAAGGGAACTAGAATGGAATAGGAATACGGCCAAATAGCATGGAGTACATTTTATAGAAATACAGACCATAAACCTCTTGACCCTATCTAACCAATCACTGAGCTGTTTTTGAGGAATCTTCTGGAAGAAGAGCAAGTTTCTGTCTCTCCCCTCTTCACCTAGCTGAAACTGGTGAACTAATTAGCAGGACTGAGAAATGACCTTGATGAACTAACCATCCATGGCGGGACCAGGACACACACACACCCAATGCATTAAGTGGAACTTTCCTCAGAAGATGGCTTCTGTCTTGAAAGCACAGGAAAATGCAGATGTGAATGTTGGCCTCTGTGCAATGGTAGTAAAGTATCCAACAATGTGTGGCTGTAGCCCTGCTGTCATGCAGTGACTTGGGTGCTAGGAAATCCCTTTGCATCAGCCAGGAAATCACTTAGCGGCCTTAGGAAAGTCACTGTTTTCTCAGCTTCAGAGTATGGAGTTAACAAGACCAGCTTCCCTTACAGGGTTGTTGTATGGATTATGGAGCTGAAGTGCTCCAAGCACTGTAATGCCCAGCAGAAGTGTGAAGGATTACTGAACTATTAACAGAGTGGCAGTAAACACGTTGCAAGTGCATTTCCTTTGTTAATGGCCACAGCACATTCTCCCCTACCTCCTGGAATAAGCTGCAAACCTTCCATGGAAGCTGGAAAGCATCTCTCTACAGGTTAAGACCTGGAAAAGCGAGTCTAGTGCTTCTGTTTCAGACAGTACATTTAGCCATGTCCACAGACAGCCCTGGTGAGCAGCTGTTTGTCCTTTCAGGACAAACATGCAGGTACCTGCATCTATACTGGTAAATTTCCCAATCCATCGCATTTCTATCAGCTTATACTAGCTGGAAGGTGGGTGACAGTGTTTGGAATTAGATGAGGTTTACAGATGGCTTTGAAAGGCAGCCTTACATTGGGCGCACTACAGTAGTCCAGTCTAAAAGTGATCCAGGCATGAGTAACAGTGGCCAGCTCTTTGTTCTGAAAAATGGCCCTCTGTGCCAAATCTTTCTTATATGATGAATAGCTCTTGCCTCAAGAACTCTGTGTAACCACTGGATCATTTCTGCTTGCCGCTGTTAGTTAGCAAAAGACATGTCATCAGCAGCAGTGAGGTGCATCAGAAAGGAAATCCGGGATCTCTATGTCAACATCCAGGCTGTTCAAGAACCTGAGAAAGAGGCCTTTGGAAGTGGAAGTGGAATAATGTGAGTAGATTAACATTGCCTGCAGTTCCGCTCACTGGACTAGCCAGTCATCAGCCAAGTTAAGCCTTGGCTTCAAAGCGGGTTTATTCTAACTAAGATACCTGAAGTTAAGATGAATTACTTGGATTTAAACCACTGTAACTAGTTTGGTCATGCACCAAGCTGTTCTGAATAAAAGAGGACGAATGTGTGGTCTGTTTTGGAACTTATGTAAATCAAAAAAACTAAGCTATGTCTGAGCAACTGAAAAACAAAGAAGCATATTGCTTATTGATTTCATCTCCAGAATTCTCTTTTAATCCATGCAATCCCTAGCAAAAAGGGGGATAGCTATAGTATAAAAGCAAAGGAGACCAACTTTTTTTGTACAGAGATAAAAAGATACACACATTACAAGGCTTCTATAGTTTCATCTTCTGAACGCAGTACTTCAGAAACCACTCCAAACAGTCTCCAAATTTTGTGTTGGCATATCGCATGGTGCGGTGGGCTGTGATAGGGAGATTCTGTGTGCAGATAAAAATTACCATTGTGTGGCTTTTTGGAAGACAAGTTTCCCATCTGTATGTGTTCTTAGTTACTTATTCAGAAATTAAATGTTTTCTTCTTCAATATAAGCTGGTTATTCATGACTCTCTAGGTTTACACTTCCAAATGAAGAATTGTCAAAAGAATGTACTGTTTTTTTTCCCTCTGCAATGAAATCCTGTTTGAAACAGCACCTCTTTTTGGTGGCTCAGAGGTTAAGATGCTGAGCTGCAGACCGGAAGGTCTGTAGTTCAGCAGTTCGAGACCCGAGTGCCACGTGACGGAGTGAGCTCCAGTCTCTGGCCTCAGCTCCTGCCAACCTAGCAGTTTGAAAGCAAGAAATTGCAAGTCGATAAATAGGTACCGCTTCAGTGGGAAGGTAACAGCGTTCTGCGTGCCTTGGCGTTTAGTCATGCCGGCCACGTGATTATGGAAACTTCTTCGGACAGTGGTGGCTGTTCGGCTTGGAAATGGAGATGAGCCCTGCCCCCTAGAGTCGGATTCGACTGGCTTTCGAGCAAGGGAAACCTTTACTATTTATGTAGTATCCACTAATCAATATGAATTCAAATGAGAACTAGTTATTATATGTATTTACATATTTATATCCCACCCAGCTTTCTGTTCAAAAAGAACACCCAAGACTGATAACAAATATAAAATGATGTGACTAAATACAAACCGATATTGAAACAATTACTAATAAAACAGAATGAGGTTGCAGCTCCTGTTAAAGGCCTGGGCAGCCAGGGGGCAGGGCTGACCAAGGGGAAAACCTAAGCTCCTGATGGAATGTTCTTCCCCAGGAGAGAGAACAGCATGATGTTTCTTTCTGTGGAAATATTTCATGTTTTGATACAACCTCAGTGGCTTAAGGATGCTAAGTTCTCCTGCTTGCCTTTTTAACTGCTCAGCTGTTCTTAACATTCGATTCTTATCTGAGCATATTTAGTTCTCATCAGGCCATTTTTAAAGGTCATCCCCCCCCCCCTCATTGTGTGGCTTTCATTAGCCACAAAGGGGCTGGACCGTTTACAATTAGATGTTCTTTTAACTCAACGGCTTGTTGGTGCATGAGGGTGATCCCCCCC